TTTCACTTTTTAATTTTTATTTAAAAGTAAATAAACACTTATTAATAAACATTACTGTTTTTTTAAGATTATATAATTATAAAAATAAAACATAAAATAATTTATGTTACGTTTTCACTTATTTTAAACTAACATTATTTGTAGTACAATTAACACGTATTCGGGTAAGATTTCCAGTAAAATTAAACAATTTCATGATAAAAATTTCATAAAATTAAACAATAAAAATTTCATAAACATTCAACACCTTTGTTAAGGGGGTATCATTAGCACTCCCCTGTCTTCGGTAGGTTTTGATGCTTAAAATATTAGCAATTAATTAACTAAAATTTGCAGAGTAAGGAAGTAATAATAAATAAATATGTTATTAGTGTTAAAGTGGGGCAAGAATAAATTAAATAGACACTGAGGGACCAACGGTAACAAAAACTTTGGATTTTGGAAGTATTTTCGAGGGGTATTTTTGTCAACACACTCCTAAATTGTTAACGGATCACTACTTAAACCAAACAGATTCAACCTCACTTCTGCAACTTCATCTCTCCAATCAACTTTTGCTTTTTAGGGCTTCCACCATTGTTGACCCTTTTAAGCTTTTCTCCTTTTTATCTCATTGGTTCTTACAACCTAATTCCATTCTCTTTTTCTTCCTTTTTCACACACACAGAATCCAATCATCCATTTTGTGAAGAATCCCCCATCTGGAACCAGAAAAAGCATCTTGAAACCCCATTTCTCTGTTTGATTCATTCATTTCATCAAATCACATTTGGAACAAGAAATAGAAATCTTGAATCCATTTTGTGTTTGTTGATTCCCATCAAAACCCCATTTACTAACAACAAAGGAATCTGGAATCCATCTGTGTTTGTTGATTCCATCAAAACCCCTCATTTCAAACAAACCAAGAAATCTTGAATCTGTTGATTCAGGAACAAGAAAGAATCTCGAATCCACTTCCATTTGTGTTGATTCCATCGTTTTTTTCACTATAAAAATCACGAATCATTTCTGGGTCCATTTTAGTTTTTCGAATCTTTCAAGGGTTTTTCTCTTTATCTTTCTAAGTGTGTTTGAAAGCTATGGCTGAAGCTCCAAAAGCAGAGGATATCACTCATCTTCCAACAGATCAACTTCAGGGTTTAGAGTATTGTATTGACTCCAATCCATCTTGGGGTATGTAAATTTCTTCACTTTCCTTCAAATCTATATGCCATTTGAGCTTTTTATTAATGGTGTTTTCTGTGTTTTTAAAAAAACAGGGGAAGCCATAGCTTTAGGGTTTCAACATTACATCTTGTCTTTGGGGACTGCTGTCATGATTCCTACTTTTCTTGTTCCTCTGATGGGTGGTACTTCTGTGAGTCTTTTTCCTTCAGCACATCAATGAAAATAGCTGTACCATGTGTATTATGAATGTACTTTACAACATATATATGTATAAAACAGCCCTGCAACCGCTTACAGTGCATACACATACACATACACATATGCATAAAAGTAATTGAAAAGGTTTTATGGTTTCCATGCACTATGAACATTTGCATTTAGTTACTTTTATTCACATGTGCATCCTGGACATGTGAATGGTTACTAGGATTTTTTTCTCGGTTTTTCATGTTTCTTTGATTGAAATTTGCAGGGTGATAAGGTGAGGGTGGTGCAAACATTGCTTTTTGTTCAAGGGATTAATACATTTTTGCAAACACTTTTTGGAACCCGATTGCCAGCTGTGGTTGGGGGATCCTGGGCGTTCATGGTTCCTATAATCTCGATCATCCATGACCCTTCTCTCGCGTCCATCGTTGACTCTCATATGGTAATCTAAACATACAAACTTGCTGATGATTCTTTATGTTACCTCTGTTGTAACATAGGTCTTGATATTTGTTTTCATGTTTCCTATTAGCAATGCCAAATTTTGATGATTTTATGAGTACTATTTTCATCTATTGAGGGTCACTTCAAATGTCCCACCTACTAAAAACCAATCACTTTCCTAGTAGCAATGCCAAATTTTGGTCATTGAGACCCATTGCAAGTGTCCCACCTACTAAAAAACATCACTTTCTTATTAGCAGTGCAAAAGTTGAGCTATAATAACAATAGACCCCACCTCAAGGGGTGGGTGGACCTACAAGTTTCAAATCCGATCAGCTTGTGGGCACCTCGACTATCTCATGGGGCCCTAAAGATAACAGTCAGGAAAATTCTCAATGGCCCTAAGGAGACTCGAATTGAAGGCCTATAAGGAGAAGCCCCAAGGCCAAACCAAACCAACCCATGTGATTGTTTTTTCCAAAATCCAAACCAAACCCGGTCCCACTCTCCCACACGAACTGGGGTCTGTAGAGGGAAGATGTACAAAACCATTTGTCTACTTGAAGTGGTAAAGAGATTGTTTCTATAAAGACCCCGGGAAACATAGGTGGGCCCATTCTTCTCACGCGTCAAGTAAATAACATTGCGACAATTACATATGTATCCTTCTATATCACATAAATGAGGCATCCAAAATGAAAATGTTATCAAAAAACAGTCTTTGATGATGGGGTTCTTTGGACTTGCAGAGATTTCTTGCTACAATGCGAGCGATACAAGGTGCACTTATAGTAGCATCGAGCGTGCAGATTATCTTGGGGTATAGTCAACTGTGGGCTATTTGTTCAAGGTAGATCTTTTATATATTTCATGAACCAACAATGAATCCGAATGCTTTTGTAGTCAATTCTTACAAATTTTCGATCATTTCAGATTCTTTAGCCCAGTTGGTATGGTTCCGGTGATTGCATTGGCCGGTTTTGGTCTATTTGACAGAGGATTTCCGGTGGTATGCATACTTTACTTGGCTTGGTTTGACTTTGGATGTCAAATGGATTCAAATTGAGATCGATCCAAATTGTTTATTTCTTTTAGAAAATAGAGGTAACCCAATTGAAGGGGGTAACAACTTGGTAATACAGCGAAATTGCAGCTCAATTCGGTACAAAAACCGTGCTGTTTTTTTAACTTTTTAAAGAATAATCTTTTGACCTCAAAAGTCAAAATGTGCTGATTCAACTTGGAATATTATGCGAGTACTTCACTAATAAAGTCAATTTCAATGTGAAGAATGTATGATCTTTTTGTATCTTTTTGGAAAATCTTGATGACCCTTTTGACTTTGTTGAAAATACTTCAATTTTGACTCTCAAAAGTCAAAACTGTTACATTTCTTGACACAAGCTTAACCTTTACTCAAAAATGTTTGTAGGTTGGACGGTGCGTTGAATTTGGCATACCGATGCTAATTCTTTTTGTCACTTTCTCTCAGGTATTGCTAGCTTCGGTTAAGTCGATTAAACTAGATGTATTTCATGAATGAAAACATAATCTTTTTCCTGTTTCTTGATTTTCCGGTGGGAAACAGTACCTGAAACAGTTTCAGGCGAAGCAACTTCCACTATTGGAGCGGTTTGCACTTCTTTTGACGATAGCAGTGATCTGGGCATACGCACACCTATTGACCGCCAGTGGTGCGTATAAACATCATTCGGAACAGACCCAAATGCACTGCAGAACCGATAAAGCCGATCTCATATCTTCTGCACCATGGTTGGTAGTTTGAGTCATTATTCACATGTGAATTGCTGCTCGATGAAATGAACTTATGAGCAAGTTTTCTTGAATCTTGATGCAGGATAAAGATCCCTTATCCACTTCAATGGGGTGCACCAACATTTGAAATGGGGCATGCTTTCGGGATGATGGCTGCTGTTCTAGTTTCGCTCGTTGAGGTGTGAAAATCTTGTGAATCTGTTTTCGCAAAATGAGAACTTTAGGGTCGATTCATGCTTGCTAATCTTTATGATTCCTTCATTTTTTTCGTTTGTGGGTCCCGTTTGAGGACAAACGCAGATGGGGAACCCACAAATGACGAACCACAACGTGAATCATTGAACTGTTTTCATCTTATGACAGTCAACAGGTGCATATAAGGCAGCAGCCCGTCTAGCCAGCGCTACGCCGCCGCCTGCTCATGTTCTCAGCCGCGGCATTGGGTGGCAGGGCATCGGGATTCTCTTGAGCGGCCTCTTTGGAACAGCAACCGGTTCAACGGTTTCTGTGTAATTTCCTATATCCAATCCTATTCGTTGTTTGAAACAAAAAAGACGCAAACTTTAACATAAATCTCCATGTAACGAACAGAGAAAACGTCGGTCTTCTGGGAAGCACTCGTGTCGGTAGCCGAAGAGTGATTCAAATCTCGGCTGGTTTCATGATCTTCTTCTCGATTTTAGGTGAGTTAAATGCGTACTACACCAAAAGATGAAGCCGCCTTTGATCCAATTCATGTTTCTTGACTAAATTTTTGGAACACGTAGGGAAATTTGGAGCTTTATTCGCGTCGATACCTTTCCCGATCTTTGCTGCAGTATACTGCGTGCTATTTGGTCTTGTCGGTGAGCATCTGTTCCATCTCTTGGACCCTAACCACTAAACCCCAAATACCGTGAAATAATGGTTTTGTTGTTTTGTTGCCAGCTTCCGTGGGGTTGTCATTCTTGCAGTTCACGAATATGAACTCGATGAGAAACTTGTTCATAGTGGGCGTGTCGTTCTTCCTCGGCTTGTCTATTCCGGAGTACTTTAGGGAGTACACGGCCGGTGCCCTTCATGGTCCATCACATACAAAAGCCGAATGGGTAAATTGGTCTTTTCACATATGATCAGGGGCAATTTGGTCCTTTCACATTCTTCTTGCATATAATGAGGGGCAATTTGGTCTTTTCACATGAGATTAGGGGCAATTTGGTCTTTTTGGACCTGTTGATGATATTTTTGTGTATTGCAGTTCAATGATTTCCTCAACACCATCTTCTTCTCATCACCGACGGTGGCGTTGATGGTGTCGGTGTTTCTTGACAACACGCTCGAGTTCAAAGATAGTGCGAAGGACCGTGGGATGCCGTGGTGGGCGAAGTTTAGAGCGTTCAAAGGTGATAGTCGAAACGAGGAGTTTTACACCCTCCCGTTCAATCTTAACCGGTTTTTTCCACCATCTTAAGGTTTTCCAAGTCTTAACGGTCGTGGCGGTCGCGGTGGCAAGGGTAGTTTCGTCATTTTCACATGATTGAGATTGTGCTGATCACAATCCTTTTGGTAGGAGAGGGGGAGTGGGAGGGGTAGAAGTGTATGATGTGTTGTTTTTTCATGAGAGCATGATAGCTTTGTTGTTGTTCTAAATTTCATGTAAATTTTGTCTCAAATTATTCAAATTAATTTAGGGTTCTCCATTTATTAATTATTTAATTTCTCAGTTATGATCTAATTCCGGCTCGACTAAGGGTTTGTTTGGCAATTGTTAAATGGTTTGGTGCATTATTAAGCGGTCAGAATGATTAATAGACTCTTATGATATGCTACAAAATGAAATATAATTGTTTGGTAATTGTGTACAATAAAATTAAGGCTCTTAATGGTTAAGGGAGATCCAAGATACAAAATTATTCAGAAGGTTTTAGAATTATTAAAAGGCAGACTTTTTTTGCCAAACAAGATTCACCTCTTAACGATTCAGAGGTTGTCTCTTAATGGAACTATTAAGAGGTAAGCAACTAAATGATTCTGACTCGACTAATACTAACTGATTTTGACTCGACTTATACTAACTGATTTTGTTGAAGTATTAAACGATATCTTAGGAGCTGCTTGTTTTTGGTTTAATGGGTTTACAACGGTCTATATAACTTATTCGACTAGTTAGACATGAGTGTTAATTTGCGGCTTAATCATTAAGCCCATGCCTACTTAATTCATTCAGCTAAATTACAATTTAGCTGTCTGTAGTATGTTTGTAGGAAGTTGGTCATTAAATAAAAAACCAAGTTTTTAGATTAGTAACAGATAAGTTGGAAGAGGTTCTTAATATAGTAGAGTTTTCTTTTTAAGCTCTTGTTTTACTGACATGATGCTGATATGACAATAAAAAATGACGTTTTAAAATTTGTTAACGTCATCGGTTATGGATGTTCTCAGTCTGAGAATAAAAGAAGGAACCCTTGACGTATATTGAATAAAATATAAATAAATGCTCATAGTATTTTAATTGTATCCAAACTATGTTAGCGATGAATTTATTGAATTTGTCACGATGATAAATCAATAAGTTTAATTGTTATTATTTGTTTATCATTTAAACTTTACATTAAACACATCTAGGGGTAATATTATCATTTTTCATAATTCAGATTTATTCAACATAACAACCAAACAACAATTTACCTTAATTCATATAAAACTTAATGAAAAAAATAATCGAAGAACCCCTTAACGAGTGTTCATCAATTAATGTGAGCTCGATCAAATCGAACACATCGAGTTTGCATTCACATATATAACAAGTCAAGTTCGAGCTTACAAGAATTTGAATATAATTCTTATCGAAGTTCTCATCGTTGAGCTAAACTCAAACTTACTTAATCGAAGACGGTTCCCACACATATTTTCAAGCTATTCGAGCTCTGTTCCGTTCATAGTAAAAACATCGAGCTACCAAATCCAGTTTCCAACCCGACCCGGCCCGCTTAGAGCCTTATTATCCTTAACCGTAATGAATTTGTTCATACCCTTTGTTTAATTTCTCAAAAAAACGAACAAAAGAAAGTTTCTACAAGTATACCAACTCGGAACCAACTGTGCAACTCCTTGCATGACAACGAAACATAATTCATCTTCGTTGTTGTGTTTACTCGAAGCATTTCAACGGGAAACAAGGATCTAAAAAACTGGAGAAAGATTTATTCGGTTACTGGAACTTGCACATACATTCGGGGCATCTCGGCTGTCTATAAATGCTTCGTCCCCAACCTCTCATTCGTACGGTCTGAGATTCAGTGATCATCTTCGTTACTCTAGCTTCAAAATCCGTCCATCTTATGGTTTGGTTCGTTGACAAGATGTCTGCCAGTCTCTTCTTGCTAGGTCTCAACGTCGGAGAATGGCCGCCACCGTAATAGGTTCGGAAACCAGAGACTAGAGAAGATAACTGGCTGCCGGAATCTGTTATCGCGAATACATCGGCAGTTGCACAGGCAATGAAGTCCAATGCTGCTAGCTGAAAACCGAAATCAAACTTTTCGTATAAGTTGTGGGGGTTATTTACGAGAATAACCTTTTGACAGATATTTTTTATAAATGTATAACCTTTTGACAGATTTTGAACCATTCTCATGTTAAGAAATAACAAGAGGCATTCTTCTGTTAGGCAAAAACATTCTCAAACCTGTCGAAAATATGTCAAGGCAAAGACGTTTTTGCGGATGGAATCAAGGTTGGATACAATTAAAAGGCAAACAGATCATCAATCGCTCGATAATTTGACAAACAATGACGACGGCCCCACTAATTTGACAAACAACGACGACGGCCCCGCTAATTTGACAAACAACGATGACGGCCCCGCTAATTTGATGAATATTTGTTTCAAAACTGAATACAGAACTCCGGAACCTTATTGCTTAACGCATCTTCCACATTTTCTTCGTAAGTTCTCTAAAATAGATTTTATGATTACCAATTTAATTTCCTTATGTTTCTTAGTCAACTTCGATTAGGGTTTTTCTTTTCTACATTAGTTTCTACTTGTATTACATGTCTGCTTGCATACCATTGAATTGTGAACACCCCCATTGAATCTTTATTCTACCTGTTTATATTTCCCAATTACTAGTTATATTATCTATCTTATTGCCTTCTTGCACACACCTTTTGCTTCGTGCATAAGCCTCGGGTCTCCAAGGAAACAATCTCCCGATCCTAATGGTTGAGGTAAGGTCTGCATATATCGTAGTCCTCCGAGATCTTACTTCCAAGTGGAATATACTGGGTTTTGCTTGGTTTATGGGTTTCGAGTGGAATATCCTATTGGGTTTTCGCACACGAATGAAATCGTGCACAAACCATCGAATCTTTATTCTACCTGGTATATTACATATCTTATTGTTTGCTTGCACACACCTTTGCTTTGTGCATAAGCCTCGGGTCTCCAAGGAAACAGCCTCCCGATCCTAATGGTTGAGGTAAGGTTTGTGTATATCCTACCCCTCACAGACCCTACTTCCGGGTGGAATTTAGTGGTTTCATTTGGTTTATGGATTTTTCTTAATATGATGAAAGAATGATGCCAGGTCTCATGTAAGTCTATATTAAGACGAAAATCTACTACTAAAAATATGACAAAATGATCAAGATACCTGAGAAGAGAGGTTCTTAAACGGTGCAATTTCACTCGGGGAGAGGAGATCCTCTTTCGTGATCAAACGAGGATACAAATTAGTCAACGGGCTCATCCTTGACTCTCCTCCGTATATTTGGGATCCGGCAAGATAGATATATGTATCACTCGTAAAACCAAGAGCAGCTAGAACCAATGCAGCTTCTTCTGGTGTTAGTGGACACCTTCCTGAACTTCTTAGTTCTTCTGCAGAAACAGGCCTACAACCATAGAATCCATGATCATAATAGTTCAAATTGGAAAGAGAAATTACAGAACTATCCCCCATGGCTTGCCCAATATGTTGAGGTTTCTCAATTTTGAATGTTGGTATCCCTCCTATTAGTCCATGGATATCAAAATAACAATCATGGATGTGTTAGTTTTGACCCAAAAAAATATTCATTTGACCACTATATCTAATGGGTTTATTTACCTAAATGACCTCCCGGCAAGTGTTTTTTCAATCCATGACCTTTTGCGAGGTTTTTAGGCATTCTTGTGTAAAAGAGTGGCATTCTCAAACTTGTCAGACATGCCACTGATTTAAAATAAAAAAAATTGTCAGAAGGTCATTTAACCAATGGATCAGTATCTCCTGTTATATGGGCAAACCTGGAGGGAAGTAACTAATCTTAGTTTTTAAGTACAAACTTTGACTTCTTCAATCGTTGCATGAGCAATGGAAAATGGTCTTCCCGATAAGCTTGGAGTTCGGCTTTCTCAACTTGTCCACCACCAAAATTGCATAAAGAGTATGCTACCATATCGACTTCAAACCTCAAGTGCAAAGCAAGATACTTAAGTGGCCTTCTGTCCATATCATTCCCATTTAACCGGCCATCGGTGATGAAGTTTCCTAGTAATCGCTTATCTAATTTGTTTCTTGGGCCATCATAATTTCTTATCCTTCTAATCAGCAACGAACCAATTTCTTGAATTTTGGGCACAAACTTCAAAGCATGATAGTTACATTTGCATCTTAACCTCTGTAACAATATCATAAGATTTTATTATAAACAAAATGTACCATAAATACTAACGTAAGGGTAGGTTCAAATGAGAATAACAAAAAGGTTGAGATTATATAAATGACGAAAAAACGGATGAAAAAGTATAACAATATGGATGTCAAAGTAAAGAGAATAAAATGCTTATTTTGTTGGTATACTCTGTTGGATCATCTCATCTGACGGTTGAGATCTATTTTCACCTTCTCAACCTTTTTGTCATTCTCATTTGAACTCCCCCGGGCAGGGGTCCTAAGGTATTTAAAGCAAAATAAAAAGATGGAAGTAGTGTCTAACCTGTAGTTCAGAAGGCAACGGGTCAAAACCAAGCCGGTTTCCGTATCCAAGGAAATGAACAACTCCGTTTTTTGATAATAGAGGAAGTATTTTCTCAATGTACTCGGCAGGTGTTGCCTCCTTGCTGATATCTGAATCAGTTATCTGAAGATCAATGATAAACATTATCCATTGTTCTTGACTGACATGCAATTCGGATGTATAGATATTCCCTAAATTCCCCCAAAAAAACGATGGACACTTTGACTTTTACGGTAAAAAAGATTACTTGCCAACAAAAATTCATATTTGGTTCCTTCATTTATATATATTTAGTAACATGCGTCCTTTTTATCAACACTAGTGAGAAGGGAAGGTAAGAATGATTATCCACATTGTACTAAAAATGTGGTTAGGATAATCATTCTTACCCTTCTCACCGGATCAATCCTGATTGAAGGGTAAGAAGATCACCCTTGGATCAATCCTGATTGAAGATCAACATTAATGAGATGCACTGGATCAATTCCCGTGATAAGTGCAATTCATGGGGTCGGGATGAGATTAAAAGTGATCAAGCGTCCAGATCCCTTCTTACGCTTCTCACCCTAACTCCTATTCTCATAGGATCCTTCATCTATATATCTCTTTGTGAGTGTGTGTGTGTGTGTGTATGTTAACATTGATGGCTTAATCTTACTGTCAAAGTGTACATCTTTTTGGGATGGAAGGAGTACCAGATACAAAAAAAAAAAAAAAGACAACGTACCAGACTGCCCATTTCTTTGAAGTCTAGCGATTTCAAATGAGGAGGGAGATCCTTCACTATATTAACTTCATCCTTCAATGTCTTTATGAAATACTCTTCTTGATAAATATCACCAAACTGGCTGAATCACATACAAAAGCATCCAACTGAAATATATGATCCCTCACTCTATCGCAAAATAGATGTCCACAATGAAAAAGGCACAGAGTTTTAGAAATGCATAATTATTACACTTTTTAAGTAACTAAATGACAATTTTATTCTTAGAATAGAAGGAGTAATGAATTTCTCCACCTCATAATTAAGGGTAGAATTGGAAAGTACACACTTATTTTTGGGACAAACTAAAATACAAATATAGACACTTATTTTGGGACAGATGGAGTATTATTTTACAAAGAATATGGGGATAAAAAGTCGTCACACACATAAAAAAAAAAACTGGGGGTTCACAGACCTGGGGTCCTTCCATACATTGCTGTAAAGAAATCTTGGAATAACTAATGTTGCATTTAGTAGTGACGCTACAGCAACAGCATTGCAAACCTACATGCAAACAGAGAAACTTTCTTGTAAATAGATACATAATAAAGGCCATAATTCATATTTGATGTTTGTTCGTAAACAATATGAATGTGAAGAAATGAAATCATTGTGAGACAATTTGTCTCCTAGAATTTTGTGTGATACATAGGTACGTTTGAGTTTCAAATGGTTAACAAGTAAATTGGAGAATAGAAAAACCTTCTACTTACAGCAACCCGTTGTTGATTTAGACCTCCATTCGCGCTAACCAATATATAACCGTTGTTGCTTTGAAGTTTTTCTGTCCTAACAACATTGAAAAATCATGACAATGATGCATAAATATAACCTAACTTAACATGATAAATTTTCATGTAGGCAAACATTTGAAAAGAAAGGAGGTCAAGTTTCACTTTCACAGTCAAAGGGACCAGTTTTTAATCATATATATGTATGTATGTATATATGTACGTATGAGGGACCAGTTTCCATATCTTGTGTATATATATCCCAAACAATTAATCGTTCTTGCAGAAGCTCTATCCTACACACGGTCCCATCCAGGTCCACCCAATGGACTAGATTAGGGCGTCCACAAGCACCATTCATATTGTGGGGATTCCAATTACCTTACTCTCTCTCTCTCTCTCTGTATATATATATATATATATATATATATATATATTTATATCTAGATTATCTATACTATATTATAAAGCATTTAGATAAAACACTTATATTTCAAGTGTACAACATCTATGAAGTGTGAAGTACAAATCACTAATGCACTAAGAGTTATGGTTTGTTAAGAATTTGTAGATAAAATAAAAGGGAAAGCCTGTCCCATAAAGGTGGAGCAACAAAAGGTGGAGTTAAATCTTGAAGAATGTAGGTGTGATTGGGGGAGGTTTGAGAGATTAGTTTGTGTAATTGTAATATTTTTTTCACACTGGATTTTCTTTATGGAGGACCATGTTTCCAAATAATTAAAATAATTGGAACATTTAGCCATTTATGTACAGATGATTGTAATTTCTATTTTGTGGAAACATAAATGACGGACTTCCTTTTTTAGTGAGGCATTGCATTAATTTTTCATTCTCGATTAACAATAAGACTTCACATTGTGCCACATCGCATAGTAAACAACTAGTCTTTTAAAATATACCATCACATCCAATTATCAAATCTTCAAAACTAGAATTATCCTATGTGGTACTTTTTATAAAGTTAAAATCTAGGAATTTGTTTTCTATACAATGTCACAATATTATAAGGACCATGCTACACTTGTCATCATTTAGTAGCCTAGATGTAAAAATACTTTTAAATGACCACACATAATTCTCATAATCTAGTCATGAATGCCTTTTCAAAAAACTTGAATATATCCATGTGAATTTCATGGGGAAAATTAGTTTCTTTATACCATAGAAGTCAAAGGATGCCTCAATTGCCCCATTGAATGGAGTACACAATTAGCAAAATGTAGTAAAATCAATCTTTACCGGCACTTATCAATTCCTTTCTATCTGCACAAGGACTCCAAACTGATGCTTGACGATAAGATTCCTCCCAGAATTTTGACTCATCTTGTTTAAGCTCTCTCTGCATTAGAAATTATTCATGAACATACAACAATACATATCAATTGAACTTGATTAGTGTAAACCTAGATGCATATGAAACAATATGCAAGGTCACCAAAAAGTCATTGACCCAGCGGTACCCAGGTTAGTGGTAGAGCCCAACCTCCCAGGAGGTCAAGGATTCATACCTCACCGAAGTGAGGAGTGTGTGTGAGTATTTGTAGTATATAAATATTATATACTTCAATATAATGTGTGTGTATATATATATATATATATATATATATATGCAAGGTCGAAGCAGAGAATCAAACCTCTACAAGAGCACCAGAAGCCATGCTTGCAAGGCGGCCATACATCTGCACCACATTTTTGCCATCATCATCTCCAAACTTCAAGAGCAGAATCATTTGGTAAATGATCAGTTTGTTAGCATAATAATCCCACATTCTTAAAAATAAGACTTATGATGATTATACTTTTATATATGATCATGGGTTATTCCACTATTGATAATTGGTTTTTAAATAGAAAACCTGTAGACCTAACAACAATATATCATGTATACACCTTGGGGCGAGGATACATGAGTGTACTGGCACTAGTAATCACATACGAATAAAATACAACTTATTGTGATACCACATGCTTCTTTTTTTCCTTTTCTTTGTGCTCACATGAAAATAAAGATTATTGAGAGAACTATGACAAATAGTGAAAATTTGCCATCCTGCAGAGTTGATATAATGAAAGAAACTATCTGAGTTACGGCTAACTATTTTGAGGAAATAAAGCATATCCCCCCAACAATATTTTATCAAAGCTATCGAATTTGCAGAACCAACTAATTCACACCTTTGTCTCACAGACTCACACAATCCACTTTGTTTGATGATCCGGTTAATTGCTACCTATACATGAAGGAACCATTGACGACAAATCTCACACTAAGCACACATAGCCCGGCCATGGCTATTTCAATATATGAGTCCAAGCTTAATACACATGCAAGCAATTAAGTTCAAATTAGGGTCTGCATTATCCCATAGTAAAGCAATAATAACAGAATGGGAGCACTTGCCATTGCAAACTCCTACACTTCAGTGGTTTTAGCATCTTTAGGATGGTTTGAGATATTGAACAAACAGTTCAGTGAAAAAGATGCAAAAGATAGGTATCAACAAACATGGGAATCATTCAGTGGTTGTAATTAATGAATTCATGTGTGTGTGAGATTACTGAAATAGAAGACTGGTTAAAAGATTTCAATAAGATAACATATACATACATTCCATACAAATGAGCACATAAAGCCATACCCTTCCACGTTTTAATCTTCCTGGTATGGAACACAGAAAGAACACGTAAACACATACCTCACTAGACAATTTTGCAGGCGTGGGACTACTTTCAAGAACCGATGGTTCAAAGATGGAACCCAAAAAAGAATCCAAAAGAAAAAGAAAACCCATCAATGCAACTGTGAAAACAATGGATGAAAAATGTTTACGGATCCAAGTATGCCTTTTACCAACATAAGCACCCTTAAAAGAACCAAACTTCATGGAGTTACTCCTTAACCCATGAAGCAACTCAAACTTCTTCCCCGCTGTAGGATCACTCCCTTGCACCATTTTCTGATATCTAAATTGATACTGAAATGATGCAAATGGCGAACTAAGATCTCCTTGTTTAGACCCTTGCTTCCCCATTATGTATGGATCACTTCAGTTACCAAAATCTCCAATATGAAACACCATCAATTAAGACTACATAACCTTCCCAAATATAACAATTGCCCCAATTGAATTTTCTATATGGGAATACTACCAAGTCTTGCCTGCTCCTTTTACTTACTATTATAAAATATATAAATGGTTAGGATGAGAATGTCAGAGTTTGTTGTGACAAAAACAAATATAAAGATGAAACCGGGAGCATCAAATTCTGAATTGGATGTGAAGCTACATCAGGTGAAAATGAAAGGCAAACAGCAGATGATAAAAGTAATGTAATTTTACAGATTATTTAAAAGAGAAGGTTGCGTAAACTGACCTAGTCATGTAGATTGTATAGATATAAAAAACATGAAATGCAGGGGAAATATCACATCTGCAGAACACCTACTTGTCACCGAACAAGAGATCGAAGGTTGAAAAGTGAACATCATATGTTGAAGCTTTTGAATAAAGAATGGTTGAATTGGGAAGAATAAAACCCTAGAAATCGCCATCAGAGGTTGTAGTGAAGTTGCTGTTGATGGTTGAGATGGATCGCACCAAACTACACTGGGAATTTGGTGTTCGCGCAATTTATAATTCTTTTTAGCAACAGATTTTTCGAAACAAGAAAACCCGAAGGGAAATCGACTCCGAATATCTATTTTATTTTTATCAGGGGTGTTTGTTTACATACTAAGAGGAGGTGTATCGATCGTTAATAGATGAATCTTGTTTGGTAAAAGAAAAGTCTGTTTTTTTATGATTTTAAATTTTTTTGAATGATTTTGCATCATGGGTCTCCCTTAATCATTCAGCATCCTAATTTCATTGTAAACAATCACCAAACAATTATATTTTATTTTACAATATATCATGAGAGACTATTAATTATTCTAACCACTTAATCATTCTGCACTAAATCATTCAGCAACTACCAAACAATCAGTCTCCTAACCATTTCTCTATCGGATTTATCCGAATATCATTACATCATTCATAATATGATCGTCTTTAATATTGGACCTGGCTAAAAGATAGAAAAATTATCAAATTCAACCTAGATACGCAATTATGATGGTCAGATCCGCAATTACGACGGTGCCTCTTACTAACCCGGTGAAATTTGAACTTTTTATGTCAGGTCCGTAATATTGCGGATGTGAATATTCCAAAACGTAGTGGCATTTGGGTAGATATTACGGATTACGAATGTGGATATTGCGGATGTACTGACATTTAAGTAAATCCGAAAGAGGAATGGTTAAGAGACAAATTTAATTGAGAAATGACTATTTGAGTCAATTCTCAAGCCACAATTTTGTATTAATTTAACGAATTCTGAAAAACCAAAAAAAATCCACCAAAATAGTGTCTCTTTCTTTTCAACTAAGGTGTCGTATACCAAACGCTTATTTGGGTAAGTGCTTACCAAGTCACTTTACTTTATCGGATGAATATGGCAATGACTAAAAATCTTACCCAGTAAGAACGAAGGCAAGAATCGAGAGTCTTACCCGGTAAGTGAGGACAATGACTCTTATCATGGTTAGCGTTTGCCGGGATAAATTGTTGCATACAATGCGTTTTAGTGAATAAAATCTTACCCGGTAAGTAAGCGATAGTGTTGAATTTTACCAGTAAGTGCTTACCGAATAAATTTTTAGATAAACGGACCCTAAATTCACTTTTTAGTCATTTTTTAACTAAATTCCTATTTTAGCCTCCATCTAAGCCTATTTTAATATTGGACAAAGTAGAAAAAATGGTTAAGCAAATTTGCATAATTTATAGAAAGAATTTGTATAAGGATCTCTGTTTACGTGAAGATTTTTTTTTTTCTAATCTGAAAATAAGCTTCACATAAATAACAGATACGTAAACTTTGACTAAAATTATAATCGATAACAAAAATGGCTAAAAAATGAATTTGGTTGAAGAGATCAACTATTTTGTTCAATTTCAATTCAAAATATATAAATGATTGGAGAATTTCTTTTAAATGATTTTTTATGAATATCATCAATAAAAATATTTAAAATAGATAAATAATATTTTATTTAATATTTTAATAATATAATTAATATTGTAATCTTTAAAATAAAAAAAATATGTTAAACTTTGAAGAATCAGTTAATTACGAAGTGTAATGTCTTATATGAGGTTTAACGTTCATCTAGTATTTTTTCCATAATTAGTTTTATAAAGTTTAAATGTGGAATAACAAAAGGGACGCGTATAACTTCATGAACGTGACAAACGGTGTTGGTCACGGGGGAAGGTCGCTTTTTGTGTACGGTCAATGTAACATTTGTTTAATCATATATGATAGATGTGTGCATCACGTGTACTTATATATGATTTTGGAACTTCTCGTTTTCTCGCAAATCGACCGTATTTACGTTTGAACCTGACCCTTGATTAATGTGTATAATATAGTAAAAATGTTAGTATAATCATACTCACATATGATTATAAAATTTAAATTCCCGGCTAAATTTTGAAAATAAAATTATATATCAGTATCAAATTGAAAAGAATAAAATACTCGTTGGGTAATGGTGCATTTAGTATCCAAACGAAAATGACAGAATAGAACAGAACATAACAAAAAATGCAGAACAATATGACATAAGTTAAAAGTTTAAAGTGTATAAGATTAAAATAAAATAAAAATTATGTTATACCTATTCTATATTATTTTATGTTTATGTAGTTTCCAATTTTTATGTTATACTTATTCTATATTATTTTATTATTATTAATATTTAATAAATACATAAATTAACCAAAATATAAAAACAATATTTTGATGACGATAAAAGAAACCGATGTATTTTCACGGGTCACCCTCGTTCCTTATATCATTTCTTTTGAATTTCTCGTCTCGTTTTTCGTGGATTAGTATAATTCAAACTTTAAAGAGTATAAAAATAAAATAAATAAAATTTAAAAACTGAGTAAATGTAAAAAGGGTAATGTATTGGATGTTTTAAAAAAAATAAGGTTTTATTAATGAAACATAAGTTTGTTCCACTTAAACAATGATCACATGTTCTGTCCTGTCAATGTACCAAACGCACCCTAAGGATTTATAAGGTGTCACTTACCTTCCTAATGAGTATGACAAAGACCTAAAATCTTACTCGATAATAGGCGTAACAAACACCGAAAATCTTATCTGGTAAGTGAGGAAGAAAATCTTACGTGGTAAGTGCTTAGTGGGTAAAATATGTTTACCAACAATCCATTTTGATGGTCGATAATATTACCCGGTAAAATAAGCAAAGATGGTGCTCTTGCCAGTAAGCGTTTGGTAATGGCCCCTAACTAATAAGTCTTTACAGTCACAGAGCCAAAATTCTAATTTAGGAGGGCTTAGAGAAGTAAAGCTAAATCAGATAACTACGCCCTTGAGCTCAAGGTTTTAATGTCTTAATAGTAGTATCCTCATTGACTTCGACTTTTCTAATGACTAAATAATTTTCATTCGAACCCATATTGAAACTGGCATTTGCTGCCGCAGAATAAACTAATGAACTTAATTTGAAGAGTATTCAAACAAAATGTTGATGTGATAAATATGATTAGTGTTATTTATAGCAAGTCTTGTGTGACTTGAATATATTATTAAGCATTTTTAGATACTGTAGACAAAAACACAAAAAAAAAATCAGAAATATTATGATTTTTTTAGTAGACCACAGAAAATCTATTTATATATTTTTGAACTTTGGATAATAACTTTTTTAGCACAAATAAAAAACATTGATGATAAAATAAAAATGAAAAAATGAAAACCAAAAATACTGGTAAGGATTTCAAGCATTGGATCTGATAATTAATTGACAGTAGTTCTAATCATTCAGCTTGAGGAAGTTTGTATATTATTCTCTGTTATACCTTATTAATATGGAATGTTGGGGGTGGCTAAGCGCCATCTATCCCCCTTTGTTAGCTACGCCCTTGAGAACACTGTCATCGATTTTTAGTTCAATTCTATTTCTCGATGGGGGAAGAGAAGGGGTACAACTCAGTGGTTGACAACTTGAAGCTATATATTATCACTTTCCTGCAAGAGATGCGATGATTTTGCAATATGACCGGGTTTGTTTGATCCTACCCCTCTCATATCATACACACCTCCATAGTAAATGATGTTTCTCTCGTTTGAAAATCTTTTCATAACCATTTTTTTGCACCAAAATGGTTTAACATTTGGTGTAAATAGTAAATTGGATAAAAAAATTGATTACCAGTAACTCCAATCAGTCTGCCTCCAAAGACACCAATGTGAATGGACATTTTTCGGTTCACTCAGCAGCTGGGGGGGGGGGTTGGAATCGAACCCAAGACTTGTCATGTATTTAGGCGAAGTCCCCCCACCCCTTTGTCAATTGAGCTACGTGCTAAAAACAGTGTAATAGCAATAGATGGGATTCATATATACCAAATTAAAAGAGATGGGATTCATATATGCATACAGATTTGGTGATTCGTATCCTCTGGATTTGAGACTCCAACGATTATGAATACAGTAGTGACGATATTTTTTTGTGTTTTTCATACTTGAAGAAAAGAATAGTAGCAACTAAAATCAACAAGTTATGAAAGAGATACAAGGAACATAAAGGTATTTGCAAATGATGTTCATCGAGTAAGAGAAAAGTAGATTATATGAGGTAAAAATGTGTTGGGAAATGAAGAAAAAAGTGCCCGTTAAGGCAATATATGAATGTGATTAAAACAGATGTATGGCTGACAAGAAAAAAGTCTGTTATCAACGAAAAAATGAGATGGATGTGTGATTTTGTAGTGAATAATAAGACTATAAATTAGTATTATCAAAGAGAAAGTTAACGTGATGTTGGTTAAGCAAAATTTAGGACAAAAATGCTTTACATTGTATGTGTCTGGACCAACTTGTATCCACATCGATTAACTGAAGATATCAGACAGAAAAATCCCTAACAGCTCTTATTTACCCGTTAAGTTGATCCGTTAACATTGTTCGATATCTTCAAAGACCTTAGAATAATCATCTCATTTTTATAGGGACTGAAATGTAGTTTTCTAAAATTAAGGGGCCAAAGTTAAACATCGTTCTCACCGGTCACCATTTGTTTAGCTCTACGGCTAATTGGAGATTTGTTGCCTTGTTGGGATTCTTCATGGGGGAAAGCAACGAGAGCTCTGTTGACGCCATGGAAATGGTCGAAGAAGGAAACAATCAACCTAGAATATCACCAAAACGGATGAAAGTTGAAGAAATCATGGAGGAGAAGGAAGAAGATCGAATCAGTGTTTTACCAGATTGCTTACTTCTTGAAATCCTTTCTCGTTTACCCTCTACAAAAAGTGCCATTAGAACAGGTACACTCTCCAAACGATGGAAATATCTTTGGACTTCGGTTCCTACTCTGATTTTCAAACACAGTGATGATAATCACCCGCGCTCCGATTTCGTTTCGTTCGTCAACAAAACCCTAACCCAGTGTCGCCAATTGAAGCTCAAGAAGTTTGGAGTCTATACCAGTTACGATATTCGATTCGAGTCGGAAGTGAATAATTGGATTCGTTATGCTATAAGTTGTAACGTTGAGGAGCTAGATCTGACGTTATGGAATTTGGAATTGGAAGCTGAGTTTCTATTGAATGAATATTTCTTCAACAATTCATGTTTCACGGATCTCACATTGGCAGGCTGCGTATTCAATCCAACTGGAACGATTAGTTGGAGAAGGCTTAGGAATTTGTGTATTTCCTTTGGTAATTTAAGTGAAGGTTTGATTGAAAACATATTATCCGGAAGTCCTCTATTGGAAACTTTGGTGTTGGACAATTGCTATGGTTATAAGCGGCTGGATCTTACTTCCAAGAGTCTTAAGAACTTGGTGTTCACTGGATATATGGTTCCTGACGATGAATTTGATGATCTTGCAGATATTATCGAAATCAATGCCCCAAATCTTTTGTCACTCACGATTCAAGATGATTTGTTGTTATGGAAACTTGTGTTGCTAAATATGTCTTCATTAGTAGAAGCTAATTTAGATTATACAAAGGGTGGGCATTATGAGACAACCCCTAAAGAAGCAGAAGAAGAGATGCTTAAAGGATTCATACAAAGTCTTCGCCATGTCAAGGAGCTTAAGATTGGGGTTTTCTGTTGTAAGGTAAAGATTTCTTTTATTTTGACAATTTTACGGACGATCATTAACTTTTGTAGTACATTATTGATTATTCGTTGATAAACTTGTTCAATTATGCTTCATCGAAGTCACATAAACTCTGATAACTGTAAAGATCATGAAACCATACATGTATATTGCAGAAGAAACTGCAAACCCACCTCAGAATTCCTTGTCAAAACACAAATGTGTGGTTTCATCTTGTTAATCTATATTGTAGGCATTGTTAGTATATTCTTTTGATAGTTTACATCTTCGTTAAAATTACACGGTCATAAACAGTAGTGGTACTTTTTTGAACTTTTCTTTGATAAACTTGTTTAAGTGTACCCAATCGAAGTACAAAGATTTGTACTTAAAGTCTTAAACACAACACAAACTCTGAAAACTATGAAGATTTTGGAACTGTACATGTATATTGTAGAGGAAACTACAAACCCACCCCAGCGTTCCTTGTCAAAAGTCAAAACACAAGTGTGTGATTTCTTGTTGTTAATCTTTGTTGGTGCTTCCTCAACGTCCTGGTTAGAGCTCATCCATGGAGCATGAATATCTTTGCTTTTGCCTCTTAAGATGTTTCTGCTCTTGGGTGTCATTGGAAGTTATATTTTTAGGCTATGTTTGGCTCAATGTGTTATATTCAGGTGGGTTCCTTCTTTTGCTCCTCAGCATATGGCTTACCTTGACTCCTATTATCTTGAGGTAATAGCTGAAATACGGAAAAATGATCATCGTCATAATTGGGGTCTTGAATAAGACGACCTTTTTGTTTCGCATTTTTTCATATCGAAGAACCATGAAGAATGGGAGGCGTGAATGGTCCTTGGGAAACTAGTAGATAAGCTAGTTGTTGGTTGATTAGCTATGTGACAAACACCTCACATTTGGTAAATATTAACTGATAAGTTAGATGACATTGTAAAACGACCTAAATTGATATCTTGAAAAATTAATTGGAAAAATTAGAGGGGCATAATAGGAAGAAAAAGTGGCAAAAGTCCATGGAGCTTATTGTAACGTTTCAAAAAACTAGCTTATAAGCTAATTTATGACTTACCAAACAAGGTCTTTTCAATACGCTCAAAGAATAAGATGACTTATGGTTGCCAACCATCACCTTAGTTGCCCTGTTAAATTCATACATGTATTGCACCATTCTCATTTTTGTTCTCATCGTGTTCCTTACTTTTGTTGGTAGGTTCTCTCTCGTTTGGAAGCTAGAGGTTTCATTTTTCCATCAAATGTGAAGTTTCCTGATTTTACCTCAGCTTTTTACTCTGATAATGATTCGCTTGGGCAAGGTGATTGGTCCGATAGTGATTCAGTCGAAAGCGGAGATTGGGAGGTGCTCTTGCTTGATCAAGGTACTAAAAGTGACTGAATTTAATTGATTGATGTCACTTTGAGTTCATGTTTATGCTATGCATGGTTATTTCATTCCAAATGCTTATAAATTTGTTACTCGATGTGATTTTGATTGAGTAGATTTTGAATAATGATTGCTTTAATTGCAAAAAGCTTATTGCTAGCTGCAAATTGTAAAAAGAAAATCTTGGCTCATAACATATTAAAAAATTGGGGCTAAATCTTCAGCCCATGGTTTCGGTATTCAATGATAAAGCCTATTGAGATTGTATAAGTTGGTTAATGTTTTATGTTCATTTGTAGTTAGCCCTTAAGTTTTTTTTTAAGTTATGGGTATCCGAGTCAGTTTTTACACACCTCAACTAATCTTGTAGGACCTGCTGATAATAGTCAGCAATTTAATTGCGAGTGTCTGCATCAGTTTGCACGCACTTAATTAATCTTGTGGGGTCTTGAAGATAATACGTAGGAAAATTTCTAGTGGCCGTGAAGATAACGCGTAGGAAAATTTCTAATGGCCCTGGAAATAACACGTAGGAAAATTTCTAGCGACCCTGAGAAGATTTAGCGACCAATGGAGACGAGCCTCAAGGTCTAAACTTTTATTTGAAAGTTTATGTTGGTTTGGTTGGGTCCTCAATTCTCCGTCACTTCTCATTTCTTGAATTTAACGGATTAGTTGTTAAATCTCTTCTGTGTTTAGGGTGCGTATTTATTTTAGTTAATGCTTATTAGGTGTTATTTCCGATGTATTTTTTGTAGTTTTGAAACTTTGTTTTTCTCTTTAGTTTATCAAGTCCGCTCTTGCTCGGTGAGCGTTTTTGATTGATTATTTGTTCCCAATTTTAGCTTTTAGCTTTCTCTGAGTTTGGTTTACGATTTGTGCGTTTAGTACACTAAAAGGACGTGGATAGAACGAAAAACATTTACGCACATTTTGTGAGACATTGGATCGGATAATGAGATTGAAAGAGGGGAATGAATGCATTTTCTTTGTCACACCAAATAAGGCCCAAGGGAATGGGACTAAATAACTAAGGGGCGTTTACCAAACGCTTATTCGGGTAAGCGCTTACCAAATCACATTAACTTACTGGATGAATATGGCAAGGACCAAGAAATTTACCCGGTAAGAACGAGACAAGGACCAATAGTCTTACTCGGTAAGTGAAGGTGAGAACTTTTACCATGGTTAGCACTTACCAGGTAAATAGTTGCATACAATGCCGTTTTTGTTGACTAAAATCTAACCTGGTAAGTATGTGATAGTGTTAAATTTTACTAGTAAGCACTTACCGGGTAAGTGTTTGGTAAACATCCCTAAAATAGGAAACTACCATAAGTGAATTATGGATATGGTTTGTGGGGTGGTTACTAAATTGGTCCTTCAAGTTCATTTATTACACCCTAAGACTTGGAGTTTGCACTTTTTGTTGAATTTGCTCCCTCACCCTAACGGCCATCCATCATCTTTGGTAACCACAAGGATAAAATGGTCATTTTACAATTGTTCTTTATTTAGATATATTTTTTTCAATCTTCAACCTTATCTTCTTGCTAAGAACATAAATCTTACAATCTAAAATAGATGTGGAGCTTTAGGCCCGTTCCTGATATTTTTTAGGCCCTGGACGAGATGTGAAAAGGGGTCATCGAGAAGTACAATTTTTTTTCCAATATATTGTTTTTATCATCAGAAATAATATTGAATTTATATAAAATTGTTTTTCCGAGTATTCGTAGACACAAAATCAATTAATACTCATTTCTGAATTAATATTATTTACTAGAACATTTTTATGTAGCATCGTCAATTTGTTCCATCATCAAAAACATTTTATGACATATAGAATGACATCATTTTGGGGTTATAAAGTTTAATCTTCTGATTTTCGAATGACACTATGTAAATCAATGTAAATAAGTTGGTTTTCCATGTCATTTCATGTTAATGTTTTTTAACTCCATTTTAAACTTTTATATTATGTTTTCGAATTTGGGAAGAAAAGAAAATAATGAGAAAGGAAAAGAAAAAAATAAAAGAAAGAAAGAAAAATAAAGTTTTTTATTTGTGTTTTTAATAGAGAAGAGAGAGGAAGGAAAAATAATGAAATAAAAATAAATTTTGGTATAATTTTTTTATTTTCCTTAAAAAATCTCGAGAACATAATATTTTCCCCCCATTACTTTTCTATGTTTCCTACGTAAAAGAAGACTCAATAACATAGTGTTAGGGTTAAAACAAACTTTTCTGGAAACACTAATTTTATAAATTAAAAAACTCATGTTGGTGATAGTTTGAAATCTTATTCTTCTTTTAGAGATAGAAAATATATAAGATTTATGCACTCAATATTAGATAATAAAAAACAACTATGAAAAAAAAAACAAGTATAATTTTATTATTCAAAATATAGATATAAGTTGTACCGTCTCATATGTTTGGTAAATTTTTTTCTCCATAAAATGGGGGTTTTGTTAGCTAATAACAAGAAAATCTATTATATTCTATTATCAAAAAAGAATTCACGTGAGGATGAAATAATTAAAAGAGTCGATCGAAAATAAATTATGGAGAATATATTAAAGTTTTCGAGCCAAGTAGTTTTAAACAAAAAAACTTAGAAAAACATTAAATAATATTATACAATGAACGACAAATTAACCTTTTTATATATATTTTTTTCGATATATTTAATTCATACATGTTTGGGTTTTTAATAGTTAATATAGTACCAAAATCTTTTCTGGTCCTATTAAACACTAATTTTTTTATGTCTCTTTTGTTTACTAATTTTTTTGAACTACTATTATATCCCCTAAAAAAATTGGGCTCCTAATTTTTATGGGCCCTGGACGTATGCCCATCCCGCCCTTCCCCAGGAATGACCCGGTGTGGAGGTGGGATGAGTTATGAATTTGAGCAAAGCATACAAAAAATTTCATCCATTTGGATGTTTGATCAATGCTTACAACCTTTAATCCTTTTCCGAAAAAATTTAATGTCATAGAAGGAACTCTTATAAGTGAAACCACAGTAACCACACATGTAATTATTTTGTTTGAGGAAGACAATCTGTAATGAGCATACAACCACATGGACGACATTTGCAGTTTAATCCTAAACAAATTATAGAAAAAGGTGAACATTTTATTCTCTTTAGCTTGACACTGATATTATTATATTCAGGTTTTCTTTAGCTGATATCATTGGTATTATTTCATATGTGAAACAACACTATATATCACATTTTTCTCAATATTCTTTTGCTTATAAACCAATGCATGGTTTCACATGTTTTATAATGCAATGTTGTTTTTACATGAAAAAGGAAAATATTCCCTTTTTTTCATAAGAAAAAAAAAAAGCAGAAAGTGGAGGACGGATTTTTTGTGACTTTTAATTCTTTATACGATTAGAACTTGTGTCAATAAAGAAAATTCCAATGTGAAACAACACAAAGTTCCCCATGTGTTGTTTTCATATGTTTAAAATGTAGTCTACATGGTCACACTCTCACTCTCACATGTTCAATAATGCATTGTTGTTTTACATGTGAAACAACACAAGGGTTGTCGTTTCTCATGTAAAACAACATTACATTGTAATGTTATTTCACATGTGAAACAACATAGTGATTCACATGTTTTAGTGTAATGTTGTTTTACATGCGAAACGAAATATACTTTCACCTGTTTTACAATTCATTATTATTTCAACAAAAAATAAATACAATAACACATTATACGTTTAGAAGTCTATTGAATCAACATCGAAACAATCAACATCATCAACTAATTTGATTAAACAATAATTTCAAATGCACTAACACGTTATAAATTGTTGTTTCAATAAAACAGATACAACAATATATATTTCAAAACCGGCATTGAATGAAACTGAATGCGTTCATCAAGGAATTGCAAATCATGGGACATAATTAAGACGTGTAAAACAGCTCAATGCCATTTAGATTAGTGCTCAAGGTTATTAACATATGTGAGCATCTCATTTGATTTCCCGTGTATATAATATAATAATTATGTATGAATTTTAATAAATATAATATGGGGATGGATGAACGAAGGCACAACAACGACAAAGAGGAAGAGAGAGCAGCAACGGAAGTAGCAACGACAATGACATGGATGAAGATTGGAAGGGTACATCCACAAACGGCACAATTGGAAAACAAAGGGATAATTTGGCTCAACCAGTATGATCAAACTAACTAATGGCTTAATCATTAAGTCGCGAACAAATATTTTGATACGATTGAGCAAATAATCCCTCATATCATTAAGTTTATCAGAAGACAAACAAACCATCATAACATAATACACAAAAGAAACCCACCTTCATGACATTTCTTTGAACAGAATGAACAAGTGGTTTTCAGTATGCATGATATGCCTTTTGGCTTGGCCAACACATCATGTGGTTTGGTGGTTGTGTATGCTCTTTAGCTAAATCGGTGATACATGTAATTTACGGGGTTGTAAACAATTATTCCGAACTTTTAACTAATACATGTATTTAAATTTAATAATTGTTTGATATTTGTTGATACGGGTAACTGGGTATTAACAAATATCTGCTCTGGCTCTAAATTCGAAAACGAAAACAAAGCAACCAGTCTTTACTATGATGACCCTTCAAGCTTCGTTTTCTGTTACCATATATATCCATTTCTTGAACCCTACCAGAAACATGTTTTGGGAATGCTTCATGCCGACCTTTCAAGAAGGTGGCAGATGTAACATATTGAAATCCTCATGAGGAAACGACCTCCGAACCTCCAAACTACCATCGATAAATAAAAAGACAACCGACAAAAACCGATCCGAACAAGAAATTTACAAAATTGGTATCTTTCCAACAAACTTTTAGAAAATTGTTTTAGTATTTAAACTTTTGCCTAAAAGGGTATATGACCTCCTAAAAAGGAAAAAGTTAGGTCCCACTTTTTGTTGATATCTAATTCAAAGATTCATTTGCAAAATAGTTTCCATTTATGTCCTTTTTAAAAACCTTTATTTTATGGGTTTATTATATTTTATTACATAGATTCCATTTTATATATATAGAGAGAGGGGGGTTGGTTGTTATATAATTTTTTACATTTGGACAACCAATACAACTCAATTTCAACCGTCCATTTAATTTGATGAATATGTGATTTCATAAAAGTTTTAATTGTTTCATAATATAAATTATTGATCATAATTAATGAACCATATTCATCTTTCATAAATAT